GGCAGGGAAGGCAGTTGTTAGGTCAGCTCGCATCCCTTGGGGATTAATCCCTTTTGGACAAGAAATCTTAGGGATGTTTAAACACTGTCACTCTGTGCCCTTCCTAAAGTTCAACAGCTTGGAAATAAAGCATAGCAGAGAGAATGTGTGACTGAATCAATAGTACTAACAGATTTATGTCTCAGCCTGACTTCCCAGGAAAGTATGATCCGAAAATCTTTCTACATTAAACAGATTTATTGCTGAAGGCATCAGCAGGTCCATGACCCTGGAGCTGGTCAGGCAGGACACCAGTCACCAGAGCTCAGCCTGACAGGCTTTTTGGAAGATAAAGTGCAAAAAGCCAATCTGAGTTCAGCTCCGTTGGAAAAATTCCAGTCTGTGCTCTCAGATGCTGCCTCCCTCCCTCCCTTCCTCCTTCCAGGCACAACTCCAGTGGCTTCTAGGGCTGAGCAAGATGTCTTGGATCCAGCCTGATGTTGGTCTGCATGTCCATCTTTCATGTCTTTCTCTCCCTTTGAAGTAAAATTACCCAAAATTGGCTGTTTTCAAGCTTTGCCAAGTGACTATCTGTCAGAAGATTGAGAATGCAGGAAAATAACTGGAAAGTAAAGCTTTTTTAACATTTTATGGCTTTACTTTTATCCCAGTGGGAGCTACCCCACAGTTATGAACTGCAGATGGGCACACTGGTGGGTGTTAGGTGCACACACAGAAATTGGAGTCGGTGCTCCTTAGGCAGGCACTGCTCTGGAGGCTTCTCCTCTAGTCCTACCTCTGTGTGGGAACAACAGCATTTCCCTGTCCTCTTTCCAGATTTCCAACGTGTCCCTCTTTCTGCTGGCTCCATGGAGCAGAGGGCTCCTGGGCAGACCACCTGAATCCACAGTGAGTTTCAACAGCACAGGACAGTTTGTCCTGCAGAAAATACTTGGGATGACACAAGTTATCCTGGTAGAAAGCAGAACTGCCTAAAGCTGAAGGAAGAGAGTCCCTTCCCTTCAAGCCCTGTTGTTGTGGTAAACCCTCCCAGGGCAGCTGCTGTTTGGCTCAATCCCCCTAATTAAAAGCCAAAGCTAATAAATCTTAATTAGGACTTAATTACTTTGAGAACACAAATTGCTTTTCAGATAAAAGCCTTTAAAAGTTATTAGCTCTTTTCCTTACAGATTTGAACTCTGATTTTAATTCCTGCTCAGGTAAATCAAATGAGGCTCATAACAGAGTTTTCCTCTTCCAGCACCATCCTGCACCAGGGGAGGTTTAGGTTGGATATTACTGGATATTCGGGAAAATTTCTTCTCCAAAAGGTTTGTCCAGCCCTGGCACAGCTGCCCAGGGCAGTGGTGGAGTCACCATCCCTGCAGGGATTTAAAAGCCATGTGGATGTGGCACTTGGGGACTTGTCTAGTGGTGGTCTTGGCAGTGCTGGGGAATGGTTGAACTTCAAAATCTTTAATATCTCTTCCAGCCTAAACCATTGTGATGCAAATAAATGGGATGCTGGAGAGCCTCAGGGGCTCTTCACAGCCCCTGCAGGCCAGGAGATGCAGCACAGAGGCAGATCCCTTCCACTTCCTTCCATGGGTATTTCCAGAGCTCTGATGAAGGCCCCGAATCACCTGCCACCTCCTCTTTGGTTCAGGGAAAGCAAAGAGCTATTTCCAGGGATGATTCATGCGGAGGACTCCAACCCTTCCACCCACCTTCCCCATCTCCATTGATGACAGCAGGCCTGGAGTGGGTGGGCTCCTATTTTGGGGGCCACAGTGAAGGGTTTAAAGTTAGCTGGGATGAATCTGGGCTGGCAGAAGGCTTGGCTGCTACTACAGCTCAGGCAAGAATCCTCTGTCCAGC